CACTGGTGAACGGAGACCTTACGCCACGGCCGCCGGACTCACGCCCCGCCCCGCGCATGCGCTGGACAGCGCCGACAGCCGCCCTCTAGCGGCCGGGAGGGCTCGCTGCAGCCGGTTCTGCGCTGTGCTGGGGTGTGCTGGGCTGTACTGGGATACGACGGGCGCGACTGGGACGCGGTGGGCTGCGCTGGGCCATCTTGTACCACGCTGTACTGAGCCATACTAGGACATAGAGGACTGCACTGCACTGAATTGGACTGTACAGGGCCGCGCTGGGCTGTGCTCAGCTGTATAGGGCTGTAGAGCACCACAGGGGTCTGTAGAGGTTTGTGCAGGGAGGTATTGGGCCACACTGCGCTGTACTGGGCTATACAGGACTGTAATGCACTGTACTGGGTCATACTGGGCTGTACTTGGCCATATGGAGCTGTACTGGGCTGTGCAGGACTGTACTGGGCACACTGTACTGGTTCATACTGGGCTGTACTGGGCTGTGCAGGACTGTACTGGGCCATACAGGGCTGTATGGGGCTGTACTTGGATGTCTAGGACTGCACTGCACCATACTGGGCTGTAGAGAGCTGCACTGGGTCATACAGGACTTTACCATACAGGGCTGTACTGAGCCATATTGAGGGACATACTGGGTGGTACTGGGGTGTACATGGCCATATAGGACAGCAGTGCACCATACTGGGCTGAACTAGGCCTTACTGGGCAGTACAGGGCTGCACTGGGCTGTAGAGCACCATAAGGGGCCATACTGGGCTGTACCTGGCCATATGGAGCTGTACAGGACTGTGGAGGACTGTATTGGGCCATACTGGGCTGTACTTGGCCATATAGGGCTGCACTATACCATACTGGGCTGTATTGGGCCATAGTGGGCTGTATGGGACTGTACTTGGATGTATAGGGCTGCACTGCCCTATACGAGGCTGTACGGAGCTGTAATGGGCCATACAGGACTGTTCTGAACCATACTGGGTCATACAGGGCTGCACTGTCCCATACAGGGCTGCACTGAACCACACCACTGTATTGCACCATACTGGGCTGTACTGCACCATTCTGAGCTATACAGCGTTGTACTGGGCCATACTGGAGGCTATATCGGGTTGCACTGGGCTGTACTTGGCCATATAGGACAGCAACGCACCATACTGGGCTGAACTGGGCCATACTGGGCAGTGCAGAGGCTGCCCCCTTCCCGCAGTACTGCAGTCACCCTAACACCACGGCCCCCGGTCACCCACCCACGCTCGCACCCTGCTCCCAGGGACGCTGCTGACACCCATGGCGGGGCTCAGCCCTGATGCCAGCGGCCCCCGCGTGTCCCCAGCACCCACCCTGGTTCCAGGGGGATTGGGGTGCCCCCCACCACCAGCGGGAGAGGTGCCACTGGGACTCCACCAGCATGACCAGACTGAGACTGGTTTCCTGAACTGGAGGAATGTGGTAGGAGACAACCCTTGAGCTGACCCTGAGGCTTTGGGAGGACATCAGTCTCCCCAGGGACTTTCCAACACCCCCTCTCAATTCTAAAGGGGCTTTCCAAAAAGCTCCATCTCTCCCCACCCCAACAGCAGCCACGTCCCCAGTGGGGCTGAGGTGGTGGGGGCCCCCTCTCCTCTCTGTCCCTCCCCAGCCCATGGTGGGAGGGGAAGCAGGGGCTCGTGCCTAGCAGTACTCGAATTTATTTGTAAACTGGTCTTTGGTAAACGATAAAAACTCAAGAACAGAGCAAATAAATTAATCCCCTCCCCCCCCCCAAAAAAAATAATTTAACCAACGAGGTGGATGGGGTAAAACAAAAAATAAATAAGAGTTTTCCCCCCAAAGTGGGATTTTAATGAGCAAAAGCTGCTGGGGGAGCGTGGGCACGGGGTGGGAGCGGTGGACACCGAGTCCCTGGCTGGGTGCTCACTGCCCACTGCCCCCACCCCGTGCCCGCCCGGCGCTGGGTGCTCCCCCATTGTGCTGGTTTTTGGGGAGGAAGAAGAGCGCAGGGCGGGGTGGGGTGTCCCTACATGGGGGGCTCGTTGCAGAGCACGATCTCCAGCTCCTTGCGGTAGAGTTTGCCCCCGTGGGACAGGTTCATGATGCTCTTCCTGTAGTTGGTGAGCTGCTGGATGTTCATCTCCTACAAAAAATTGGGGGGGGGGGCTGGGTACCCCATTTCTCCCTGGGGAGGGTACCCCCAGGCTGCGGCACCCCCCCACCAGCTTCCCGTGGGGACACGGGGTTTGCATCAGGATCTGGTCCCCAGGGAGCAGGGACACAGGAGGTGGGAGATGCTGCTGGGAATGGGGAGGAGGCACCGGGAAGGGGTCTGTGGGGGGCACCCAGGCTGTGTCCCCCACTTCTTCCTCACTCACTTTCTTATTCTTCTCGTAGAGGTCTTTCAAAAGCGCGTCCAGCTCGTTCTCGTCGATGAAGCCGCTTCCGTCCTGGATGACGAGGGTGGGACCTCAGCGGGATCAAGGACGTGAGCCCCACATCCCCCCAGCAGGGAATGGGCACGGGGGGCACCCCCAGACCCTTGCCCAGCACAGCCAGGGGTGAAACCCAGCGCTCGCACCTCAAATCAGAGCAGGGACTTGACCCAACCAAAACCACATGATCTTGGGGTTGGTTTTTTTCAGATTTATATTTATTTAGAGCAGTTTCCCCGCTCCCTACCTTGTCATAGAAAGCGAAGATGGCATTGAACTCCTCCGAGGACAGCTTCATCCCCTGGGACGCAACAAGGGACACCGAGGTGTGAGGGAGGGGACGGGAATGGGTTGGGTTTTTATCATCATTATTATCATTATCTTATTCATTATTCATCGTTCATTATTTATTATTTAATTAGTTTATTGTTATTGTTAATTTTACCTGAAACTTCAGAAGGAAGTTTTCCTGCACAGGCAAAAGTCTGAAAACCAAGACGGGCAGGGATGAGCAGGGAAGAGCCAGGAAAAGTTGCTTGTAAAACCCCAAATCATTTTTTGCTCAGAAACAGGAGGAAATTGAAGAGGAAAAGTGTTTTCCTCGCAAGCTGGAGCTCATCTTCCACACGAGAATTTTGGGGTGTCTTTCCCTCCCTGCTTCTCACCACCCGTGACCTTACCGGGACATCTCGGAGAGGCCCAGCTTCCCGTCGCCGTTCATGTCGAACATCCGCAGCTGCCGGGACACAAGCATCCCTGGTCACCCATCCCATCTCCCGCCCGCCATGGGGTGACGAGACCCTGGGGGACCCCCGTTCCCCCCGGGACCACCCCGGAGGTCCCACTTACGATGGTCTGCGTGTACTCCTGCAGCTTGGGCTCGTCGTAGGGCCGGTTCGCCTTCTTCAGCAGGTCCGACAAGAAGCCCTGGAAGGAGAGGGCCTTGCTGGCTGTCCCCGTCCCCAGCTGTCCTCGGGGGTGATGTGCCCCGGGTGGGGACCCAGCACAGCCCACCCTGCAGCCCACCTTGAGCTCGTTGGCTTCGATGTAGCCGCTGCGGTCGGTGTCGTACCTG